ACTACAGGAGCCACAATTTATTTATTTTTTAACTTATCAGATTAGGAAGTTTCTCTCTGTTCCTACTTCTGGCAGTTTTTTAAAAATATATAAATGAGTGTCGAATTTTGTCAAATACTTTTTCTGCATCAATTAATATGTTTATCTTTAGCATGTAAGATGGTGGATTACACTGCTTTTTGTAATATTGAAACAGCTCTTCACTCCTGAACTAACATCACTTGTTCATAAGTTTGAAATTATTTTAAAATTGTTGAATTCTTTTTGCTAATATTTTGTTAAGGATTTTTTTCCATCTATATTCAGAGAGATTATTGATCTCTAGTCATCTTCTTTGTTTTTCTTGTACTGTCTTTAGTTTTGGTATTAGAGTATTGCTGGCCTCATAACATGAGTTGGAATGTGTTCCTTTATTCTGGAAGAAATTGTGTGTATTTGTGTTAAACTTTAAATGTCTGTTAGAATTTTCTAATTAAGACTTCTGGGCCTCAAGACTTCTTTTTCAGGTATTTTAAATTATCATTTCAATTATAGGCCTACACCATATTGTAAAAGAATTTGTGCTTTTTGAGGAATTGATACATTTTGTCTAAGTTGTCACATTTATGTTTGTAGATTTGTTCACAGTATTCATTTTTATTCTTTTGATGTCTTCAGGGTCCATAGTGGCATCTCCTATTCCATTCTTTCATTTTGTCCCCTCTATAGGCTTATCAACTTCACTGATTGTTTTATGGAAACAGCTTTCATTTGATTGATTTTTCTCTATTTTTCTTTTTCAAAATCATTGATTTCTGCTCCTATACTTATTTTTTCTTTCTTTTGAATGCTTTGGGTTTATTTTCCTCTTTCTTTTCTAGTTTATTTAGGTAGGAACTCAGTTATTGATTTGGGGTTGCTTTCTTCCTACTGTAAGCTTTTGCTGATATAAACTTTCCTTTCATTACTGTTTTAGCCACATCCCACAAATTTTGCTATGTTTTCATTTTTATTCATTTCAAGGTATTTTTGAAATTTCTTTGAGACTACCTCGCTGAACTATAAATTATTTAGCATTGTGTTTTCAAGTGTTTGGAGCTTTTCCTGTTATTTTTCTGTATTCATTTCTAGTTTGGTTCCATTGTGTTGAGAGTACAGCCTTCTGTACGATTTTGATTAGTTCCTGGCAGTGGATAGTGTCCTTGAGTCCACAGAGACACCGGGAAAAGACTGTGGGCGACTGGGGTGACAGGTTTTGATTAAGTCCTAGGTTAATACAAGGCAACATACCGCCGCTTGGTTCCTTCACTTCTCACACCTCCCAGCCCCACAATCGCTACATCACTGCAACATGAGCGCCCACAGGCCAAAGTGTCTGCATGGGCGCCGCCATAGTGGCCTCAAGCTTAAGCCACTGAATGGGTAAGGGTTTTAAGCAGAGCGCCATGTTAACTACTGGCAACTTTTGTCAATGAAGGCTCTGCTGAGCATGCGCACACCCAGGCACGCTGCGCTAAGTCCCTCTGGTGCTAGGAAGCAAAAGGGAGTAGGTCCTGCTTTAGTTCTTAAGACTGTTAATCACCGCCCGAGGCAAATGACCACAGTCCTGAAAGAGCAAAGGGGAGAAGCAGGGAGTGCAGAAATGGGAGCATCTATGAGCTGAGTCATGAAGGGTCTTTGATCTTAGTGCTGAGCTATCGGGTCAGTGATGAGAGCGATCAGTGGTTGGAATAATGGGGGCTGGAGTGATGTATCTAGATTTGCAGGCGGAGTCAGGACGGACTGTGGGGTCCAATATGCGATCGGAATGAGGGCGGACTGTGGAATCTGTTGGGGAGGATAATTGTGGAGACCGAATAAGGAGGGATCTGAGAGGTGAGTGATGTAGATCTTAACTGATTTCCTCTCTCTTCTATGCTTACCAGTCTGTTTACATTTTAGTTTCTGACTAATCATGATATATTTTGTAAGGAATTTAAAAAATATATCTCCATGGGGTCGCATATAAGTTTCCATTTCCATTTCCATTTTTGTCCTCTTTCATATCCAGATTAGTATCTCCTTTATCATGCCTATTATTATGTTTATATATCATTCATTCTTCCACTTTTAAAAATCAGGCACCTCTAGCCAGGCATAGTGGCACATACCCGACCCAGCCTGGAGAGACCAAAGCAGAAGTATCCCTTGATCTCTGGAGTTCAGATCTATTCTGGGCAACATAGCAATACCCTACTATCTAAAAAATAAAAAGCAGGCATCTCAAAGGTTTACCTATTTTACTGGGCATTTTCAAATATCAGCTCTTAGTTTAGTGTATACTCCCTACTCTTTTTATATTAATTATTTTTTTCCTTTTAGGTACTTTCTTCTTTTTTTCCCTTTTTAATGTAATTTTTTGTTCTTTCTCTGTTTTCATAAGTGTACAGGATACATTTACAGTTGTAAAGTTTCTCTAACTACATCTTTGTCTACGAAATGTATAAATTCAATTTGATGTTCCATTTTGATCCTGTGTTATTTAAGAGAGTTTCTTCATCACCAAGTTATTGTGATACATTCCAATTGGGCTTTTAAAAATTTTTTATTGTATTGTCAGAAAATGTAGACCACCGAGTCTCAAGTTTTGAAAATTTATCACGATTTCTTTGAAACCAAGTTTTATGGATATAAGCAAAAGAGTATATTTTGTATAATGCAAAGTTCTCTTTATCTATATTAAATCTAGCTTGTTTGTACTTTTCAAATTTTCTGTATCTTTCCTCACTTTGGTCTGTTTGATTTGTCATATTCTGGAAGAGATACAATAAAAAAATCTCTCACTTTAACAATTCACTTTGTATTTCTTTGTGGGTTTTTTGCTAGTTTTAGTGGGGGGGGGCATACATACACCTAAGGATTAACACATTTTATATCACCTTTTTAAATAGGATACTATTATGATAGGAGCCTTTTTTTCAATAAAAAAGGACTTTTAACTAAATTCCCCTTTGATATTTATGTTGTCATCCTTGCTTCCTTTTAATTGCACTTGGATGATATGCCCAGAACTTTATTTTATAATTTTATATTCCTATGATTTGTCTCCTTTGTTTTAGATGACTTATTTGTAAATGATAGATACTTTTTATTTCAAAATCCAACCTATAGTCTCTGTTGATAGGAGTATTCTACCTCTGTAGCTTAGTGTAGAGGTAAAACTACTTACCTGATTTAATGCCTTCCATTTTATGTTTATGACTGAACTCTTTTTATTTTTGCTTCTTTTCCCTTTTATACTTTCATTGACTAAATTTCTGTTCATTGTTTCCATTCTACACCCCGTATAAATTCTGGGTTTTTTTTTTTTTCCTGAGATAGTTAGGAATGTTTTATCATAGGATATTATAAATTTTCTATCTTATCACATCATCACGTTATATTTTTTGATAATTATATCTCTTTTACAAGAATTATTGCCAAACAGGGCTGGCCTCAGTGGCTCACACCTGTAATCCTAGCACTGTGGGAGGTGGAGGTGGGTGGATTGCTTGAGCTCAGGAGTTGGAGCCCAGCCTGAGCAACAGCAAGACCCCATCTCTAAAAATAGCCAGGTGTTTTGTTCAGTGCCTGCACCTAGCTACTTGGGAGGCTGAGGCAGGAGAATCACTTGAGCCCAAGAGTTTTTTTGTTTTTTTTTTTTTAGACGGACCCCAAAGCTATCCCTCTGGGTAGAGTGCTATGGCTTCACAGCTCACAGCAACCTCCAACTCCTGGGCTCAAGCAAGTCTCCTGCCTCAGCCTCCCAAGTAGCTGGGACTACAGGCGCCCGCCACAGCACCAGCCATTTTTTGGTTGCAGCCATCATTGTTGTTTGGCAGGCCCGGGCTGGGGATTCAAACCTGCCACCTTAGGTGTATGTGGCTGGCGCCTTAGCCGATTGAGCCACAGGCGCCCAGCCGAGCCCAAAAGTTTGAGGTGCCTGTGAGCTGTGACACCACAGCACTCTACCGAAGACAACAACAAAAAAAAGAATTATTGCCAAACGATATTTTCCTATTTACAACTTCTCTTCTGATTTATTTTACATTTATTTGAAATGCCCCTTTGAGTATTCTCCTCAAGTAAAGACAGAGATACTCTTCAAGTGCTTTCGTTTCTGAAAATGTCCCTCTGGTCCTAACAGAGGAGCGGTCTTTTAGATTCTATTTCTGTTATCACTTAGCTTTATGACTGCAGATGAGAAGTCTTTTGATTTTCTTCATTTTTTTCTTATAAATAAGCTGTTCTTTTACATGTGCTCTAGATTTAGAAATATTTCTGATTTTTAATTTATCCTTAACATTCAAGAATTTTCTCAAATTTGTTCATTGATTGGGTTCCTATTTGTGCATGTGGAGAATTTTGTGGGAAAAGCTAATAGTACAGGCCTAGGTGTGTCTGTGCTTTCTCAGGCCCCGTGCAGGTACAGATGCGCCTAAGATTGGGACTCTCGGGTTGGCGGATAGAGATGCATGGTAAGTAGTAATACAAGCATGGAGGCCAGTAACAGGGACATGGGATTGACTCTTGAAGAGCTAGGACCATCAGGTGTTGGAGGCTCTGAGATTAGGGTCTAGGGATGAGTGATTTGGCCCATGAGCAGCATGAAATGGGCATCAGTGATTCTGAGGCCTGCGTAATGGCTTCTGGGTATGGGGTCTGTGCAGTGATTGACATTGGAGCAGACTGATGAGTGGGCAAGAGGAGTTAGGTGCCAGTTAGTGATAGCTTGAAGGGCCTATGAAGTCAGATAGCATAATAATATTATATAACATTACATCATTTGGTTAGTCTATAAAGTATTTAAGCAATCCATAATTATTGGATATCAAAATGTTTCTGGCTTTTTTTTGTTATTAGCCATATTGTAGTAAAACTCCCATATTTAAATCTTTGTGCAGTATGGTATGGGATGCTTGTTTAATAAATATAGTCCTAGAAATATATTTTTGGATAAGAGATGCGTGGGCACTAAATGATGTATGTATCCACGTGTGACACTGTGCACCTCCTTCACATCTGTACCTCTACTCATCTGTTTTCTCAGATCTCTGCCACTTTCACAGAAGAGCCAGAAATGACTAAGTCCTTGGTGAGTTTTTATTTGTTCATCAATTTATTTGTTGCTTTCTTTTACATCTTTAGTGAATTTTAGGAGGTATCTAAATCCATGTGGTAAGATGACTGGCATAGATAAAAAATAAAAACTAAGATCCAAGAAAATGAAAAAGAAACTATCAACTCCAAGCCAAGTTTGGAATATAAACATGTGAGTCATGTGGTCTTACACTAGCCATTCTCAACCCACAGGAACTGTATTAAAGGGCCGCAGCATTAGGAAGGTTGAGAATCACTCTTATACAGTTATGAACTTTGAACTATAAAATTGTGTCTGAACTTTCTGGCATAGCCATAATGGAAATTGGAGCATGGTTTAGATTATTGACAAGTAGTTTATTTCATCTGTGGCAAAGATTTTCTGGTTCTTAATGTTTGAGAAAATCTTCACATGGATGGTAAGAGTACTGTCTTCAAAAGCAACCATGTTCAGAGTGCAGGTTCTCTGTTGTCATCTTACAGAGCTGTGCTTCTCACACTCTACTTGTATGTGAATTCAGATTCTGACTTAGTAGTATGGGATGGGATACAAGAGTTTGCATTCCTCACAAATTCCCAGAGAATGTCAATGATGCTTGACATTATTTTTTATTTCTTTTAGTTTTAGCCTGTCTATTTTGCTATATTTGTAAGGAGCTTATTGTAGACAGAATATAGTTGGGTCAAGTGTGTTTATCCTTTCTGCCAACACCTATCTTTTAATTGGTGTAAAAAAGCCAGTTCATTTAACATAATTATTGATATGTTATGGCTTAAATCTGTCATTTTACTTCTTGTTTTCTATTTTTTCTTCAGACATTTGTTTCTTTTTTTCTTTTTCTCCCTGTTTTTCTGTAGATTATTTGAACATATTTTGGAATTGCATTTTGATTTATCTATAATTTTTTCAAGTGTTTGATGGTTCCTCTCAGTATTTGCACACAACTTATGAAAATCTACTGGTATCTATCTATATTTTATTAGTTTGAGTGAAGTATAGAACTCTTACTTCCTTTCAAGGTCCTTTATGCTTTCTCGTTTATAATAAATATTTCTTTAATATCTTCTCTATATGCATTCAGAACCCCATCAAGCAATGGTATAATTTTTGTTCTAATTGCTAACATAGCTTAGGACACTCAGAAGAAAAAGGAAATCTTTGTATTTACCAATATTTTTACTCTTTCCATCATTCTTTCTCCCTGATGTTCCAGGATTTTATCTATTATCATTTCTGTTTTGTTTCAAGATCTTCCTTTAGCCATTCTTACAGGATAAGTCCAGTAATGACAAATTCTCCTAGTTTTTCTTCATCTGAGAATGTCTTGATTTTCTTATCATCCTGAAGAATGTTTTTGCCTGATATAAATTTTTAAGTTGAGTTTTTTTTTCTTTTACCATTTCAAAATGTGCTACTTCCTTATGGCTTCCAGAGTTTCTGATCTTAGTTAAAATTGTATATTAGGCTCAGTGGCCATTGCTCAGTGGTTAGGGCACCAGCACATATACCAGGGCTGGCAGGTTCAAACCCGGCTCAGGCCACTAAACAACATGACATCAACAACAACAAAAATAGCCAGGCGTTGTGGTGGGTGGCTGTAGTCCCGGCTACTTGGGAGGCTGAGGCAAGAGAATCACTTAAGCCCAAGAGTTTGAGGTTGCTGTGAGCTGTGAGGCCATGGCACTCTACCAAGGGTGACATAATGAGACTCTGTCTCAAAAAACAAAATAAAATAAATAAAACTGTGTATTAGTTTTCTGTTACTGCTGTAACAAATTATCATAAATTTAGTGGCTTAAAATAACCCTTTTTTAAATAATTCTATAATTCAAAAGCCACGTGAGTCTCACTGAGCTAAAATCAAGATGCTAGCAGGGTTGCATTCCTTACTATGGGCTCTGGGAAAGAATCTGTTCCTATTTTTATGCCAGAGGTGTCCAACTTTTTTTTCCTCTGCTGCACAAGAGAAGAAGAGTTGTTTAGGACCACACAGTAAATATACAAACAATAATGAAAGCTGATTAGCAAAAAAAGGTCCATGCATATTTCTCATAATATCTGACACCACAGATAAGCAAAAAAAGTCCTCACAAGATCAGCATGTGGCCCATGGGTTGCAGGTTGGACACCCCTGTTCTATGCCTTTTGTAGCTTTTAGTGGCTGCCTACATTTCTTAGCTTGCCCCTTTCTCCATCCTCAGGGCAGTTAACATGGTATCTCTCTGACCACTCTTCCATAGTCACATCTGTTTCTCTTACTCTCTTTTACTGCCTCCTTTTTTAACTTATAAAGATACTTGTGAATATATCGGGCCCCTTCAGATAATTTAGGATAATTAATTTCCCTATTTTAAGGACAATTATTTATCAACTTCTATTCCATCTAGAACAGCAGTTCTCAACCTGTGAGTCGTCAACTGTATTAAAGGGCCATGGCATTAGGAAGGTTGAGAATCCTAATCTAGAACCTGAATTCCTTTTTCCCGTGTAACCTACCATATGCACAATTTCTGGGAATTAGGATGTGAACATCTTTGGAGAATCACTGATCTTTCTATCATATAGTGTCATTCTACTTGTTTTTCTACTATAGGCAATGTGTAGTTTATCTCTGACTGCTTTCAACATTCTTTCTTTTCGTCTTTAAAGAAGTTTGAGTACGATTCTTTATTGGTGTGGATTTCTTTGATTTTATCCTATTTGGGATTTGCTCAGCTTTTTGTAAGTGTATGTCTTTTGGCAAATTTCAGAAATTTTCATTCATTATTTCTCCACATACTTGTTCAGTCCCTATTCCTTTCTTCTCTTTTTTTGGAAATCCAATGACACAATTGTTAGAACTTTTGTTATTGTCCCGCATGTCCCTGGGTCTCGGTTCATTTTTTTTTTTTCTCATGTTTT